ATTTATGTAGCGCACAATGACTTCAAAACTTTAACATGACACTTCAAAACTTTAACTACGCCAGGTATTTGCTTGCAACTGATTTCAAAGCGACTTATTAAGCCAATGCATACTTAGTGGCAATAAGTAGGCGTATGAATACAGCAAGCGTCCCAAATTGGTCTACGATAGGCTAAATCTATGTGAAAGTTGATGGTAAACGTTACATTCGATTAAATGCGGCTCAGACACCATGGCAACATTCTTACTTACCTAAGTCGCCGTCTGCGTTTATGACTACATCCACACATATGTATATATGTTTATTGAGAGAGGGATGAGGCGAGGGCCCCACCGCTCACCGTCATGCTGACCTAGTTTGGAGCTCTCCACGCCTGAGTCTATTTGGCAAGGCTCTCCTTTCCTCTGTTATCTAGCATGCGCACTCTCATTGCTTTAGCAAAAGCCGCCTCTAACGATAATGATACTCTTGTCCTTTCGGAAGAGAATATTTCCCATAGCGTGACTTATGACTCGTAGGTTCTGGCTTCGGTATTATGTTCATTGCTGTTCTAGTGCCGAGTCAGTTATAAAACGACACAGCTACGCATGGGACCGTGGCTCACGCGGGCGTCTTTTGATAGAAACGGTTCACCGAAGCAACTCCCAATCTCCGTCTTGCCGCTTTCGGCCGAGTCCGTGTGGAATTTTGAGTCGGTTTCGCTGTCGGAGCCGTCGCGCAATTAAGGCACACGGTCCTTTATGTGGCCAGACGCGAAGTAGGCCTTCGTACGCGCGGGCGTGTGTGTCGGACCGCTGTGGCATGATGAAAAATCGAACGATATATAAAGGACAGCAATAACAACAATAGCAGTAACATTTTCAACGTCTCTACACCACAAGCGGCCACAATCTTCAGGCTTTAATGTACAGCAGCAGTACAATACTGGAATTCCTAACTAAATGCAGATTAGAGCCCCGTTTCCAGTTACTTCTTATTCAACTACCCAATAATTAAAAAAATCGACAGGTTTTATACAGTCACTAACATAGTTGGTCTTTCAGTTTCGCAAATTAAGTGTTTTTGCGGTTTTTTTTTTACCGATTTGGTTGTAAATTATACTTTCGAATTGAATGTCCCAATGAAGCCCCGCACAATACGTGAAAACTAACGCATCAGTCCAGTAGTCAAAGCATACCACGATTCTAGATAATACTCCTGTGTATCCCGTCTGCAAGCGGCTATTTACACATGCATGTACACCTATGTATGCATGTATGTACATATGTAGACATATGCATATGTATGTATGCAAAATGAGTGTGTGGCTGACTCCAATCGGCTGACAGCATTCGGCATTGGGGGAGAAGCGTATGCGTGCATCAGACTGCTCCATCACGCCTTGTCCTGTTTCGATACGCCTCTTTGATGATAGCGCCTCCTGCGAATGAATTGTGTCGGATGTATAATCAGAAATACAATTATCTTAGCACAGCTTTTCAGCATGAAATCATATACTCGTATGTAGTTGCCATAGGAACTATCTACTGAACTGGAGAACAGTCCGCCTTAACTTCTTTGCTACAACGGCTATCTCAACCAAACTACTATATGAGTACACATGTGGTGGTTAATAATAATTCTCAAACCAATACCAACCACATAGATCTCATGGGACATGGGATGTTACACTCAGTGTAGTGTAGTGTAGTGTATATACTTGTACATACGTATGTATCCTTGGCTCGCCGACTAATCATGTTCATCTGTCCATCTGCCTGTATTAACACAAGGAATTCTTCCGGTGCAAGCGCGTTTTGAAATGCAACCTCCATTCCATTGTATGTGTAGCACCCGTAGCTATGTATATGCATATATACACACGTGTACATGTGTATATTGACGTATAAGGAATCAATTACTATTTTCCCCAGTGTATTCAATCATTCATGCGTCCTCGACTTGCTTCCTTGATAGTTGAGTGATGACTGATTTCTTTTTATCTCTGAGCGAAAGCGTAGCGCACCTTCGGCGCCCCTCGGCGCCCCTCGGCTCGTACGAATGCGTATTGCCGATTTGCTTCGTCCCTTGGTGGATATATACGTGTGTGTGTAAGCAGCATAACATTAGCATTTCTGATGATATATCATAACATAAGTAGTTTGTATGTTTTTGATGCTGGCAAGTAAGCTTGCAAGGTAATGTAAGCTTCGGCGAGTCGAAGCATAAGTATGCGCACTAATGTTTGTACCAGGGACTGAAATACTTCATGATGATTATAATAACTTTAATTTATTATATGAAGTTTGTGCAAAATTGAGAAAATGCTTTTACGGTTTCGTTCAACCGAAAGGAGGCGAACTCAGACGAGCCAAAATATTATTTCTTAGCATGGCAAGATGAGTCGATATTAATTCCAAGTAATTAATTTTCTTCTCTGCTGAGATGAATGAATTGATGTACATTATTAAAAAATCGTGAAGTCCGCTAAAATAGAAACTAAAATAACTATCTCAGTCTTAAAACTTTGAAACAAAAGAACTACATACTATACTTGTACTATATGTATTTCAAAACTTACATTTCGGAAATTGACAGACGGGATAATAGCTTTGATTTTCTCATGTACTGGAAGTAAGCAGAACTGTCCAAGTGGCTCTTTAGGTTTAACACCCAATATATTTGTAATGGATTTGTAATGTATTTGTAACAGACGCCACAATAAGAATGTTTCTGATACAGTCCTACCGATATGAATGTGTACATAAATAGTATACACGTACTTAGAATGATCAGGGACTTGGGAAGCAAAAGCACAAAAGATTAAATAAACTGCATAGGGCTTCATAAAAGGGAACAGTAAATGTTTATTAAGGAAACCTAAAGATGCATTTACAAGTTTGTCAATATGTTTGTTCAATTGAAGCCCACTCACAGGGAATTTAATCCACAAAGAGAATCAACAAAAAAATGTGCAAAAATGTAACAACAACAAAAATCGGTCCGAAACTAATGCCAACAAAATAAGCAACGGTAGGGCTGTTTATTTTTTAAAGGCTCGTGTTATATGTGGTCATGAATCGATTCGGAACTTGATGAGAAACTGATTCATAATGTTATTGCAGGAGTGCGTGAAAATAATCTTAAAAGGTAACTGTGATGTCCCGGGTATGGAGATACGGATTTCTATCCCAACCGAACACCCAATCGTAAGGCCTGTGCGGAGGCCATGCGTTCGACGCACTTCTCCTTACAGGAAAATGGATTACTTCCAAGTGAAGTACATGTATATAATGCTATCCTTTCTGTGCGCGCTTAATGTGGCCAGTGCCAGCGGTGAAATAATTTTTCGCATTGATCCCTTGGGTAAGCGTTTGGCTCGTCTCATAAGTATATTGTGCAACTTATATAGTAAGTCAGTGACCTTTTCAAAAAAAAGCACATTAATCATTAATTTTACTTTTAATATAAATACTCGTAATCTCTTTCTGTAAAACATAATGCCAAATATCCAGGAACAACTAATATAACTAATTGTATTATTCTACTTCGTAATTAATGCCAATCTTATATCTTTAATTAATTTTGCGTTTTAAAATAAAAATATTGATAATAAAAAAATTCAATTAAAATAAAGCTTATATGCAAAACATACCTACTATATGTAAAATATTTGCAACATTCGATCATTTATTAGGAGCTTACTGTACTTTATACCTAAAGAGTAAAGTATTAATCGTATAATGCTCATCAGCATGACTAAGCAAGTCGGTATAGCTATAAGGGGTTAGAATAGCTATTAGACTGTCAATCTATAAAGCCCACAGAACTGCATGAACGCGTATTGACGACATTTCAAAATAAATATGCCCACCCTGAATAGTTTACTTAGTACAGGAAGAAAGTTGAGAGTACATAAAAAAGATAGAATAAATTAAAATAGTATACAAACTATTCTGGAAGCCCCAATTACGTAATTACTGAGTACAGGGTGCAGGCTCTAGCATTCGGCGTTTTATAAGCCGTTTTGGCGAGGTACGAAACTTTCGAATTTCATTTGATTTCTATTTCAGAATAAATATTTCATAATTTAATATTTACTTTTCAAATAAATTTGTTTTTCAGTTGCACAGAACAAACACACGCTTCTCATCCCATTATGGTCAACATATTTGAAATCTGAAATGTGTGTCTATATCCTTCGATTGAGTTATCGTTCATCTCAATGGGGGAAGCTAATCGAAAGCTCTACATTAGTTGTAATATTTTTTGTAACAACGTTGTGATTCTATTTAAGGATTGTTTTTACTTTTGTTCATACGATATGAGACGTACGAGTTTGGATTTCAAGAAAGATCGTAAGATCTCGTCCGTGCTTTAGAAAAAAATATATTTTTATTTAAAGTTTTCTTTATTTATCGAATCTTTTCTCTCGGAGACTTACGATAAGTAGTCAAATCTTAATATAATATAGTTATTTAATTCATTACAATTAAATATTTAAATTACGGCCCTAACTGTTATTGCTGGGTGGGGAGGTCTTTTCGACGGAATCGTGTATGGCTAGCCTGCCAATTTAAATTCTGCGCAAGTCTATTTGGATGGTTCCGAGCTTAAGCTGGCCTACTCTGGAACAAGCTCGCATTGTGAGATTCCTGCTAGCTCGTTGAGCTATGCCAGGCTCCATGGTGATATTTGTAAAAAAAAACTGAGCGCAGAGTTCGACTGTTTTATATGTATTATACATTATACATGATACTAATATTACTATATGTATGTCCGTCTGTTTGAATGCAAGGAGCTCGAAAATATATAAGCTGGAACTACCAACCTTGGTATTCTTCTTCAAACCCATAATCAGGACAAGATTTTTTTTTTGTTTTCGATGAGCCCCTGCTCCATAACTATCGAAATTATTGGATTGTTTAATCAAATATGAGACCACTTAGTCGTATATTGACCTTTTGCTTAATTATATGCATGATAATAATAAGCTGTATTTTATTTTCGTATAACCTAGCTCTGCTGTCGGCCACGCTACGCACATACCAGAAGGCGGCCTGCGATACGGATCAGATTATGATTACTTGCCCGCGAGGCACTAGTATATCCATAGAATTTGCTCAATACAACAAATTTATTGGCAAAGGTGAGTGTTAATATATATGTATATGCATATGTATATGTATATTATGCTCGTAAATGTGGCCTGATCTACCCGGTATTCGGTTTTATATTTTCAGATGGTTATACCATTGAAGATCTGTGCCCAAGCAGTGCACGAGCTGGAGCGGAGATACGCGGTAAGGCAAAGCACTTATGGCGCGGCTCCATCTTTGGCTCACCAAGCGATAAGCTATTGCCAAACCCTTACATGAGCAGCGGCTACGGAGCTATACCCGCAGACGTCATTAGCAGCACAAGTGCCATTTCCACTAATGCAGGCTCGTCGACGGAGACGGCTGATGCTCAGGCCATCGACAGCAATGCAGACAACTTTCCCGTAAATTGCATGTGGCCGAATGCTTTGCAGGTGAGTTATGAGTCATAGCTGGCTTTGTTGAAAAAAATCCATAAAAGGAATGCAATAAGCTGAATCCTTCCTTCCTAATTCAAGAATAATATCTGTTCGGATAGCACATATTCAATCATAGCATCACACATATTTTGTATTAAAATTCTTCCAACAATAATTAATTCAACGAGCTAGCAGAAATCGCACAATGTGAGTTCATTCCTTGGGTACGCACTCGGTTCGAATCACGTCGCAACCATCGTGAAAGAAGCATAACTAAACAAGAGAGAATGCTACAGTCGAGCAAGCCCGACAGTGTAATACCCTGTACCCAGGTAAACTTCCGTCACTGAGCAGCCCATAGCAGCAGCAAAAAGAGGAAGAAGAAGAGAGAACTTGTTGCTGCAGTTTGGGGGGGTTGAACTGGCGAGAATTTGTTTCGCTAATAACTTTTCTTAGAATTGACCGAATTGAATAAAATTTTGAACAACAGTAGACAATTATATATAACAACATATATTATGTGTGCAAAGTTTGGTTTAGGTAGCATTTGAAATGTGGACGCTATTGACGAAATTCTGTAGCGGGAGAAGGGGGGGAAATTAAAAAAAAATAAAATAAACTCGTCCTTTCTCGGACCTAAGAGAATCTGGATGCCAACTTTGGTTATTCTAGCTTTTATAGTTTCTGAGATCCTTGCGTTCATCCAGACGGACGGACCGACGGACGGACGGACGGACATGTCTAGATCGATTTCTCTCGTCATGCTGATTCAGAATATATATACTTTATGGGGTCGGAGATGCTTCCTTCTTCATGTTACATACTTTGCACAAACCTAATATACCCTTTTTACCCTACGGGTACAGGGTATAAAAATGTCACAGTTATCATAAAATTTAAAGTTTGTCCAATGGAATGAATGAAATTAAATAGAATAAGATAGAAAAGATTAGAGTATATTTAAATAGAGTATTAAATATATTTGGTGATTCGAAAAATTGTTTTCTTCTTTTCTTACAGTACTCGTTGCTACAGACAGTCGTGGAGGCTTGTCAAAAAAAGAAGCACTGCAAATTTCATGGGTCGCCGCAATTCTACGGCCAAGGCACCAGTGGAGTGGGCGATGCGTCTGGAACCAGTAGTTATCATAGCAGCACCACCAGTTCCAACGTAATCAGCAACGACCCGTGCCCGAAGCAACGGAAAATCGTCGAAGTTGCGTATAAATGTCGACCCTGTAAGTCAACATTTTAAGTCGTCGCCCGACCCGCTTCCCCAACAAACGACTCACTGTGTTCCGTTCTTAGATATAGGGAAGCGTGCCTTCCCCATTTGGTGAATCTAGAATTCGTAATGGGTAATGGAAACTGACAAACAAACGAAAGTACAAAAACAAAACGATTTTATAATTTCCTTGTATAGTACATTATGGGTCTATAGCAGCTTAGGAGTACTTTTAAGATGGAATACTGAAAACATGTTGTTTTGTTTCCTCTTTGATTATTTACATTAGTTTCAAATATTTGGCCAAATAATGATCGCAAAGCACCACTTTGTATATGTTGACTCTGTGGGAAAAATAATTCTTTAAAATGCAGGATTCTGTAGTTGCCTAATTTAAGTTGTTCGTCTCATTTAGGAACCATAGGACGAGTTTGTTCATTTTTTCTGATCCACCCCCACACTCCCCCCCTATTAACGATTTTCTATAACTCCCGTAATTCTTGGAATTTTGAACTAAAATTTGGTAGTCACATTAGGTTAGTGATTATATATCCGTATACCAAGTTTCATTATGATAGAATGATCGGAAAGAAAGTTATAGCCATATAACCAGGCCCAATGCACACATACATACATATGTACAAGTACACAAACACGCATAAGGCACGATTCTGATGTAAATGTAAATGTATATGTATGCATGCATAGAATATATTATATTTAATGTAGTTAATTAATTGAATTAATTAAGTTAATTAATTAAATTAAATTAATTAATTAATTTAATTACTTTTTTGTGGGGTGGTACAGGGCATTTAAGAGTTGAGCCTGCTCGACTTTAGCATTCCTTTCTTGTTACTTACTACATACTACGTGTATATGCTGCATGTATACAATAAGGGGAATACGTCTATGTAGAGAGATGTGGGGTCTTAAATATTTGGATCACTTTCAGACGAGTTCCGCAGCAAAGTCGCCTGCCACAATGACGTCGCCCAGTTGGAGTGCAATCCCTACTCCCGCATCGCTGTGTACAGCGCCAGTTTCGGGCGAACTGAGTACGAAAGCATACAATGCCCACAGCCCCTGGGTGTACGGGAAGAAAGTAAGTAGAGAGCCTGGACGGCTTTGGTCTCATTGATACTGATACTTTGTCTCTTTGCATTTCGTCTGCCCACCAAATTTACAGCCTGCCTAGCGTCGTATGCGACTGAGACAGTCATGCAAATCTGCCATGGTCGACGGCGATGCAACTTGGCAGCCGACGCAAATACATTTGGCACTCCATGCCAACCTAATTCACGGATGTATCTGAAGGTTGTTTACACATGTGGTGAGTAGAGGAACAAAAACGGGTGGTGAAATAAAATGATTAAATAAAATGGACCACATAATCTTTGAGCACATTTCCATTGTTTTCCTTCATCGCAGTTCCTAAACAAGTGCTCAAAGAGAGCAACGATTCTGAAGTTGAACCTGACGAATCAGACGATTTTGATGGCGATATCAATGACCTGTACGACGATGAGCTCATTTACAAGGAGTCTGAGGCGGTACCAAAACTATACAGTAATACAACATCCAAGACTTCACGAAACGGTGGGGCAACCGGCATCCCTGCTACGAATTCGACTAGGGCTGAAAACAATCCTGCTGTGACGAACAGCTCCCTGGGCATGGATGGCGTTACCACTGGTATGAACCCAACAATGACGCACAGCGCCGACCTGAGTCTGGAAGGTAAGTCATCTAGACTACACGTATACAAAGACGAATATTAGTGATTCAAGCACGCAGACGGGTTGGGTCTGACAGACAATTCATTTTCACACAAAATTTGTCGCATTTCTGGTACTCCAAGCTGCATTATGTATATATATCAATCGTCTTATTGAATTAATTTTTAATGAGGGCTTGTCTTTTTGAATTAATTTTTAATGAGGGCTTTAAAAATATTCCAAGTTTGTGGAAAAAAAAAACAATTAATTATAGCAGTAAATAGATAAATTGAAGTATATACTCATATACTCGTTTGTTTGACAAACAATAATTCAAACAAAGGTTACTAAAGAGGAGGTTGCGTGGACGAATCAAAATTAGTAATATCCTGCCAGACAGAGAGTTCCATATTTCCGCCAATTATTATTTAATTATAAAATAACTAAATCGTTCATTAATCAACTTTTCTCTCACTGTCTCCATGAAACATTTCAAATTTCCCAAAATGTATCCAGGGGATTATGTGGAGCAACAGATTCAATATTCACAGCCATTTGCTTTCCTTTTCGGCTTATATTATTGAGCCCTCGGCTCACGTTCTGTTTACATTTTATTTTCAGATGACCAGGAACGGCTTTACTTCTATTTGCTAATCATAGCATCCTCAGGAGTGCTTTTCTGCATTCTCATTTTGGCCACTCGCTTGGTGCTGCAGAGGCGCCGGCGGTCTGCGAGCGATACCCTCTCGAACTCCTCGATAAAAGGGGCCGGTCTGAGTGGATTGGCGGACGAGACGATTATTCAAAGCGGCTTCAACGACACGGTCTCGGAGATTGATGGTGATATAGATCTTACCAGTATCCCAGTGTCTAGCGTTTCCAAAAACGAGGTTCGTGTCTAATGTGATAAGAATGAAGGCAGCCGTCACGCTTTTTGCTTACACTTGCAGAACTACGTGGCACCAACTAGTAGCTTATATACCAGTCTCGCGCCAGGCCAACTTTCTGCTGGATGCAATTCAAGCAATAGCAGTACTCCTGGTCTGATTAACAATCCGATACTGCTTGGCGCACGCCAGTCACCAGACCTAATTTTTACAGGCCCTGTGACAAGCATACTTTCCCCAGCTACCGTAATCGAGGCTAGTGTTAACTCACCTGCTGGTGGCCATCCGGGCAGCAGTGCAATAAGTGAGTTAACCTCGTAGTGCCTTAATATTTTGTACACCCTTATATTCGGGTTGTTTTGCTTTAAAGGTACTATGGTGCCCATTACTTCACTAGCGCAATACACGACGGCTCCTACCCTTCGCGCCGGCTACATTATTAGTCCTGATGGAATTCTGCAGCGACCAAACAACACACCAACTCCACCAGCGGCGCTAGCTGCTGCTTCGCCTGTGCATCCACACCTTTCTACCTCGCAGATGCAGTCGTCACTTGTGATTGCACCGATTAACCATCTGCCGGGCACAACGATGCTGCGTCGGCCGAAGCCAAATGCTGCAGCGTTAATGCCACAACTCTCATACGACGGTAGCTCGCCGCGCACCCTCTCCACCGGCATGCCCGTTAGTTCGCAGCTGTACTACGGATGACAGAGCAGTCTGGGCTGTGAACCCCACGTCTACACCACAGCCGTCAGTATCGCAGCATCTGCTAACGCAACCTCTACAAACGTCCCGGTCCACATAAAGCCAGCCACCGATATCAGCACAGGTTCGCAGACTGCCGAGACTCCACAGGTTGCTGTAGGTCCCTAGTCACCGACCGCCACCACATCTAGCATTACCGACAATACAAAAAAACACACATCTAGTAATTCGCAGGAGTGAGAACAACAAATTCAGTAACCACGTAAACGACATATATTGAGTAGAGATGGAAGCCTCCCCCTCTTTTACAGTTGCTAAATCGGTTGCTCTGGGTATGAGCTCTTGAATTTATAGTATGAATCATATGGATGAGTTTTCGGTGACTTTAAATACCTAATGAGTGGAATAATTTTAGGACGTATCCGAAAGGCCTCCGAACAAATTTATTTACGAGTATGTAGGTTAAGACAGCGATTGAGAGCAGCGAACGGAGGGCAGGGTACTTTCCCCACATTCCTCTCCTGTACATATTTAAACTTTTTTTAAACACATTTTTAGTGTTCGATGGCTGATATTTTTAAAATCTATTAGACAAATTCGTGCAGTCTTGTTTTCAAGCTTCGAGGTGGCAGCCGAGTCAGAGCGATGCTTTTTCAAAGTTCCCATAAAAGTACGAGTATTATTCCATAGTCTGTATATCTTATGTTCATGTTAGTAATTTTCCCCTACGCTCATTACTTGTCACCGGTCTCTTATACTTCGATTAGTACAAACCATGCCAGTTGTTTGCTATAAGATTATATAGATTTTAATGGTACAGCAAGAAATTGTGGATATTGTTTGAATGCTCACGCGACGAAGCCAAGGCAACAATATAGCCAAATTACCTATTCCGTGGGTGCAATATGAATGTGTGCAAAAATTTCAAAATTAATCAATATAACGACAAATACACTGTTTGTAGTGTCTACAAAGAGGTTTTTAATTATTTGTGATTCGTAGAGCTACAAATACGAGTACAGGCTGTCATGGGGTTGTGCAAAGTAAATAATTTCAATTTCCTCTATTAGGTATCTGTCTCTATATAGAGATACTAACAGATAAAAATCTCTGTGAAGTGAAATGTTGAAAATGCTTATGATTAATGACTCCTGCTAGTTATCTTTATCAAATGCATGTGTTTCATTGCCTCAACATGTTAAGTTAAATCAAAATAGGTGCACCATAGTATATCACGATTAGAGCCAGAAACTTTATTTCAGTTGAAGCACTTTTGCGAGAGGGGCACATGAAAGGTACACAAGTGTCCGGCTCCCGAGTTTTAAGCGTTTTATGAGTTTTTTTTTATAATGTCCAACTGGTTCAGAAGTTCTATCGACATCGGTGCACAATGTAAGCAGCTGGAGGGATTGACAGACAGATAGAAAGACGTTTCTATATTTACTGTTCCCTGAAAGTAGAAGGGATAGAATTGTGGTGGCAGCTCTTCATTTGTTAATTAGTTCTACTTCCCCTTGGTACCTTTAAGTGGCTGATTGCTAAACGTAAATGGTTATAAACAGTTTTCAATCTACAATGTGGAAACAGTCATCAACATTATCACATTACTTTGAAATTGGACGACTAGAGAAATTCTTATAACAATTCAATACCATACACGTGCATAAGTTAACCAAGATGTACCTAAGCCCAAGATACACGTGAAGCATAATTACAGCAAAAACAAAAAACCCCTCCCCCATTGTCCTTAATTTCCGCAGTTTTGGGGCGATATAGTGTTTTGAAAATAAGTTTCCTTGAAATATGAAAATTGATTTGAAGACAGGGAATTATATATGAAGTGGTCCAGTTTGGTCAGACAATCCCCACTTTAAACCAGACGGACGGGCATATCTAGATTAATTTGTTTCAGCGTGGACTTTGCACGAACCTTAGATACAATTTTTACCCTTTAAAGTACAGTGCAAAATGATTGGCATTAAAAAACTGTTTCTGACCTTATGTTTCAGTTGTTGTTTGAAAACAAGAGGCCACTGGTGTCAACTTCATCTAGGATTAATCCTAGATTAAATGTTTGTGCTCAACATTATAAAAATCTGTTTAAGTTGCTGTTTCTGCTCGAAATTCTGTCAATAAACATTTGTTCCCCGCGAATATTAGCCGCCCAAGCTTCAGCCAATCAATGTGAAATATTTCTTCGTATTTCTGGAGTCGTTTTCAGGTTTTTATAGAATTGTATCTCTTGCATTTAGTATGTAAGTTCTAGCATGTAATTTATGCTATAAGGGCTTTTCAGACAATGCCTCGTTACGTTTGCGTTTGTCTCGATTATTACATGTAGTATCACGATTTTGTGTTAAAAAGAGAAGTGCCTTTCTAATTAATATATAAGAGTGTTTGTATGATAATATTCTAGTTCTAAGCACTTACCTAACCGTAAAAGCTAAAAATCAGCATGTAATAAATAATTAACTCTCCTAACTTCAATAAGGAATCAGCCCCCATACGCAGTTATTCAATTCCATATTGAAGTTGATGATATTATAAATATTCTATGAATTGCCAAGCGAATGGGCACACAATGTCTGGAAACTAGTTCTATTTCAAGGATGTGCCACCAAGAAAGCTGTAAAATAAAAATATGTATGTAAAAAGGCACATTTTTCAGTAAGTCACACTAGGAACAAGAGAAAATAAATCATAAAGTAATCGTATTTGTAAAACACCAAGCCAAATATAAATTACACAAAAACAACAACGGTTAATTAATGAAAAATGCGCACAGGTATTTCAGCTACTCGTAAAGCCCCCTATTATGTACATAACTGCAATAATTGAGAAGGTATCAAAAAATAAATAAATAAATAAAGACGTGTTTTTTAATGTTTAAAAAGAAAATCATACCAAACAAATGTCAGTTAAAATGTAGAAAAGTTGCAAAATGTAAAAAATATTCGATTTAATTACCTTATTTATGTATTCTACCTTTTCTATGTTTCGTTTCGAGTATTAAAAATACATTAAACATAAACACATTAAGCAATAATAGTGTTCAAAGCTTTTAGAACATGAAGGTTATTTCATTTGCAGGTAAGCATGAAAAACTAAAAATTCAAACTGCTTCATTCAGAGAACGTTCAACTTTCACAGACGGTTTAGCCAAAACAAAAACCTTTTTGCCCAGCTTCAAATATTGTATCATATTTTAAATTTCCTGAGTAAGGAAGCTACAGTCGAGCAAGCAGTTTCCAAACAAACTTCCTCTGCTGAGTGGTGACCGCTCCAAGCAGAAGCAAAGAGAAGAAGAAGAGCGAAGCCACTCCTGCAGTTTGTGGGCGTAGTAGTACTTGAGTGAAATTGTTTCGCTAATATATTTTCTTAGAATCAATGGAACACAAGTATAAATTTATATATTTATTTAATGTGCAATGCTTGATCAATACCAAGTACCAAGAACGAAGATTGGCCAAGTACTTGTATGTATGTACATAAGTATGTATGTAAACTTATATTAAAATTGCACGTTAAATGGAGTTGTAACAAAACGATTTTACTGAGGGCGTCGGAAAAATCATAAAACTTTTCTTTCCCATCACTCGAAAAAACAAACTTGTTTTTTCTTGTAGATATTTTGAAAAATCTTCATCCGATTTACATCATTCTTGGATTGTAAGCTCTCAAGAAGAATACAAAATAAACTACAAGCTAGGAAGGACGTCAAGAGTTGGGTGACAAAATATAAGTTTTGGTCCCATCGGCTTTAAACTAACTCTTGGAACTCTATGTATGGAAGATACTGTTTTTTGTAATGTTGCTTTCCTTACAATATAACAATATATATGCAAAGGAATTTTGGCAATTCAGAGTACAAGTATTTTGGTTAAGCTCATTCTATGAATTCACATACCCTGCATCAGTGATCAGTTGAGGATTATGCATCTTTTACTAAACATTAATGTACATTTGCATTACATACTTTTCAATGAACCTTTAGTTCTTCGGTAAACAGTATTACGTTGATGCTAAGGAGCTCTGGTTGTCCAAACTGGAGACTGTTCGTTGACTTCTTTGTCTCCTTATTAAGCTAACATCAATTGACGTCAATGTTTTTCGGAGCTCCAATTCTTCTGCATTTACCTTTAGGCATATATCAATAAACACGCATTGGTCAATATTTTTCATTTTTTGAGCTAATTGAAATGCGTCCTTGAGTGCTTCCTTCTCGCGTTCAACCTTCCCTAAAACTGCGTGCGCCTTGCATATGATCATCAAATTCAAAAAACTCCAGAGGGTGCTATTACACTGCTTTGACTCTAAAACGCCAACAGGGATCAAATGGAACTACATTAATTTCAAAGAAAGGGCATCTTACCGTCAATCGCCTTTCGCGCCACGGAACAAGCTGCGTCAAAGGAGTTGTTGCTGAGGTGCGCCTGTGCGATTTCATGGAGTAAATAGCTACGCTCTATTGGATACTTGGCAAATCGCATACGATTCTCCATGCGGGCTATTCGACGTCTTAACGAGACAAAAAATGTGCACAAGAATATTATTATATGTAATCGTACGTGCTGCGAAACATACTTAAAACCAATTGCTTGGGTGTCGCCGGTATCCGGCCTTTGAATTGCTGATCTATCCCCAAATATAAAACGGGAAGAAGTGTCTGCGTTCTTGTCTGTAGGAAGCTTAAAAAGTTTCAATAATCGCTGTTTCCCATTTAATATTTTCATATCCCGTGGAATTTTGTATTCATTTATGCGGGCTAAACCTAAGTAGTTGTACACCTCACAAACGAACTCAAATTTCCACGGCATTATGCGATTTGTTTTAGTTGTAACATAATCTCCCATCACTTCCTCGACAAAGTCATTCAATTTCTAGAGATTTGGAATGGAAAATTTAAAATAAATAATAATCTGTTTCGGATTTGTGACATGCACTCGTATATAACATACATTGAGTTCTCCACTGCTTATTAGTTGCCGAATACTCTTTAGAATCTTAAACATATTACGCCTTGTTTGATACTGGATCCGGAATAAGTTTTCTCGTTTGTGTTTTTCATACAGATCTTTCCTCGGGTACTTTTCCATATGAGAAGAGTACATTGGGCAGCGTGTTTGTAACATTTTCTGAAATAACAAGAGAGAACGCTACAGTCGAGCAAGCCCGACAGTGAAATACCCTGTACCCAGGTAAACTTCCGACACTGAGGTATATGCGCTTCTAGCAGAAGCAAAAAGAGGAAGAAGAAGAGCGAACTTGTTGCTGCAGTTTGGGGGGGTTGTACTGTAGAGAATTTGTTTCGCTAATAACTTTTCTTAGCATTAACCGATTTAGAAACATAAGTAGAAACATAAGTAGACTATCTATATATATAAAACAGTTTGTCCTGACTGACTGACTGACTGACTGACTGACTGACTGATTGGTGATCAACGCACAGCCCAAACGGTAAAGGCTAGGAAGCTGAAATTTGGACTCAAGTATCCTTTCAAAGTCTAGGTCCCCACTAAGAAGGGATTTTGGAAAACTCGAACTCCAAAGGGAGGAAAACAGGCACCAACGTTTGTATGAAAAATCTACTCAAACTTAGTTTGTATACTCTCAGAACAATTCCAAGAAAAACTGTATACTTGGTTTTTTGATATTTTTTTTGGGGCCTAAAATATGGGAGTTTTCCTGTAAAAAAAATGTTGGGGCACAAAAGCAAACCGCGTCAGCAGCCCACAGCCCACACGGTAAAAGCTAGGATACTGAAATTTGGGCTCAAGTATCCTATCATGGTGTAGATGAGCACTAAGAAGGGATTTTGGAAAATTCGAGCTCCAACGGGGGGAAAAGTAGCTCCAAAGTTTGTTTGAAAAATCCGCATTTTTCAACCGATCGACTTAAAACTTAGTTTCTAAAATCAATTAAAGAATACAAACAAAACTGCATACTCGGTTTCTTAAATTTTGTCTTGGAGCTTGAATTATTGGGGTTTTAATATTTATTCAAATGAAAAGTTTGTGTCGATTTAAAATTTTGATAATGTAATCTACGTACAGTGAATCAATAAAGTCTTGGCACAAGCAGAATTTTTTATGAAAAACGTATTTAATACTTATTATTAATGGGCTTTGAAAATTTTTTGTGATGCAGTTAGTAACATTTGGTAATTATCTACACAACACATGTGAAATTGTTCCGTTATCTCTCATACAACTGAAAATATACAAGAAAGAAGAAAGAAATAGCTTGAAAACACATCAAAAAAGTCTTGGCACACAGCATTAATTCGTCGTATATTTGCAAATATAACGGTAACCTTTACACACCTAATATTTTGTAACACCGCCCTTAGCCTGGATAACTGCTTCTAAGCGCCTACGCATACTTCCGACTAAGTTGGATGTCTCCAAAGGAGTTATTTCTGCCCATTCCGTGCGTATAGCATCTTTGAGGGAATCCTTTGATGTTATTTTATGTTTGCGTATTTTTTTTTCCAAAATGTTCCAAATATGCTCGATAGGATTCATATCCGGCGACTGTGGGGGTGTTTTTAATTGTTTGCAATGCCATATAAGCCATTCCTGCACCAGATACGACGTATGCTTTGGGTCATTGTCCTGTTGAAATTGCCAACTACGTCCATTTAACCCCAATTTCTCCGCACTTGGAAGTAAATTTTCTTTTAAGATATTGAGAAACACATGTTTATCCATTTTTTCATCAATGAAGACCAAGTTTCCGACTCCAGATGCAGCTATGCACCCCCACACCATGACATTTCCCCCACCGTGCTTAATTGTTTTTATTATGTTATTTTCTTGGAGTTCTTTGTTAGGCTTCCGCCAAATTTTTTGCGCGCCATCTGACCCAAATAAGTTGTATTTCGATTCGTCACTGAATATTACACTATTCCAGAATGATTCCGGCTGATTTAAATGGAGCTTAGCGAACTCCAGTCTCTTCTTCCGATTTTCTTTCGAAATGTAAGGCTTGCGACGGGGGACTCTTCCATGGAAACCAGCTCTGTATAATGTGTTCCGTATTGTTTGAGGGTTAATATTTTCTTTAAAGCGTTCCTGCATTTCATGGCATAGTTTGACCGCAGAAAGCCTTGGGTTTTGTGCCACCGCAGCGACTACTACCCGCTCCTGGCGTTGTGTAAATTTTTTTGGCCGCCCGCTTCTGGATTTATGCTCCACTTGGCCGCTTTCTATGTAGTGCTTTATAATGTTTCGTACACTTGAAAATGGTTTGCCAACTATAGTGCCAATATCGCGATAACTTTTTCGCTGGACATAGAGATTTATAATCATTTTACGGACTTCTACTGAAATTTCCATGCCTCCACCCATTTTGATCGCTTTGTCACCAACTTAAGAGCAAAACTAACTTCAAATCACAAGGAAATGGAGGAATGAGCAGTTATTGAAGACAGAGTAAGAAACAGATCAAAGAAAATTGAAAGGTTACCGTTATATTTGCAAATACACGACGAATTAATGCTGTGTGCCAAGACTTTTTTGATGTGTTTTCAAGCTATTTCTTTCTTCTTTCTTGTGTATTTTCAGTTGTATGAGAGATAACGGAACAATTTCACATGTGTTGTGTAGATAATTACCGAATGTTACTAACTGCATCACAAAAAATTTTCAAAGCCCATCAATAATAGGTATTAAATACGTTTTTCATAAAAAATTCTGCTTGTGCCAAGACTTTATTGATTCACTGTAACTAAATCTACAACTTTACATTCAAGGATTTTCAAAATATGCATTTTACAAAAGCAGGCCGAACAAACATTGTATCAAACAGTTGGGGACAACTAAGTATACATACACACACATGCAAACAGCTGTTCGTGTAGTTGCGTGCAAACGATTGAAATAGCCAAAGCAACATGTGAGACACTAATGTGTGAATGTCCATACATATGTGCACATCTATGTATGTACATATGTATCTACATGTGTATGTTTGTACATTCGGCTTGCACTGACAGAGCAAGAAATGTTAAATAATTGAAAATTATATAACATTTTTAAAAGTAATTTTTTCTTTGTTTAGTGCATTTGGCATTAGGGTTTTCATTAATAGCTTTATGCAGCAACAACAAATATCAAATAGTTGGGGACATCACATACACACACTCACACACACAACAAGCAACAGTTCGTGTCTATGTGTGCGGTTCTCTACGTACGGTTGAAAAAGTAAAGAGAAACATACATATGTATGTATGTGTGTATGCCTGTGTATGAATATAGCATGTATGTACATTCGTATTAATGTATACATTGGGCAATCGAACACAGTTGTTTGATTGTAAATAAAATAATGCTCTAACAAGTAAAAAAGCTAAAGTCGGGTGTCCCGACTTTGAAATACTCTGTACATATGTTTACAATAATTATAGAAAATAAAAAAAAATATATATAAAAAAAAAATTGGATCGATTTTACCTCTCTCGGTATTCGAACTCACGTAAAGGGTGTATAATTGCACATTTACATAGCAATTGCGTCTGTGTGAGTGTATGTATGCCTATGCGCATCTATTCGTGTCTGTGTAAGCATTTTCGCAGTCAACCAAACAGCAACATCAACAAAAGCCGCGGGCAGCGCTTGAGCAGCGCTGCAGCAGCAAATATATTTATGGCTATAACTTCTTGGTAAATCGATCTATCATGAAACTTGGCATACGGACACATAATTACTAACTGGGGGTATTTGCAAAATTTTAGTTCGAAATTCCAAGAATTACGGGAGTTAGAGAAAATCACATTTGCTTGGTAGAGGGGGGAGGGAGGGAATTTCCAAAATATACATTTTGCGTATTCACACAAGGCATCTTGGACTAAAATTTGGTGTGCCTAGGTCTTATAGTCTCCGAGATATAGGCGATTATACGAATGGAAAATCGGGAAAACCCCCATAGGGGGGAAGTGGGGGGGAAATCAAAAAAATAAAACAAACTCGTATAGAATACACACATAATGCATCTTTGTGGAAAATTTGGTGTCTCTATCTCTTATAGTCTCTGAGATCCAGGTGTTCATACGGACGGACAGACAGACAGACAGGGCTAGATCGACTCGTCTTGTCACGCTGATCAAGAATATATATACTTTGTGGGGTCTGCCACGCCTCCTTCTGCCTGTTACATTTTTCAGCTCCCGCAAACCTAATATACTCTTGTACATTTCATGTACAGAGTATAAAAACAACAACTGCAAGTCATTAGCTCGCTCTTCTTCTTTCGTTTTGACCATTTAATGTTAATTGCAAAGGCAAAACGCCAAAAGTTTACAGTTACCGTCGCTCGGCAACGACTTCGTAAGCGATAGTAAAGCAGAAACCGAATATCGGAGCTACGCATATTCTGCCACGCATTGCGGGCAGATGTATGTATGTATATGATTTGTTCTTATTGATCTCAATAAATAATTCGATTTCATTATTTAAATATTCTGCTTATTGCATTCAAACTTCGATATTTTGATGGAATCGGTGCCAGTGGTTTTTGATCGTGGCTCATCGCTGCACGGCATTGACACGAATGCCGTGTTTCATATTCCGAGTTTGTGCGTGGCCGTATTGACTCAATATGACACGAAAAGACTCAAATGTGAATTTAAATTTGGACTCAAGTATCCTTTCATAGTATCCATCATAGTGTAGGAGCACACTAAGAAAGGCTTTTGGAAAATTCTAGCTCCAAAGGGGGGAAAACGAGCTTTAAGAAATATTAGTTATAGTGGTCATGTTCGTTTAACGAAATAGTTTGGCAAGAACAAAAATGTAACGGACTATTGAACAATTTTTTGTTAAAAACAGAAAATGTTCATTTAAATACCTTAAATGCCTTCCTAATGGTAACGTATAAGGTGAAAACATATGGGTAGGTTATGCACACACAAAATAAATACAATTGGAAATATTATATTGAGCCGGGTTAAGACGGTCAATACCTGCTAGTTATGTATAAACTATGTGTGCAAAGTTTGGCTAATGTAAGTTTTGAATGTAATGTAATTGTAATGTAGTTTGACGACCCAATTTATAATTCTTTCAAAAAAAATTCGGAGCTATACCGTTAATGTGCGCAGAGTCTTGTAGTCTCGATTTGCCAATTGGCGCAAACAAGGAGTTGATTCCATACTTTGGTCAAGCAATAAGTTTGAATTTTCTCGTAGTTTTCGCAGGAACATTACATCAATCCAGCTCCTGTTAAGGTAAGTTTGATTGTATATTTTAAATATACGTTTCCGCCGTGCTATCTCTAATGGCGACAGCACTTCTTCCTAAGCAAATGAGTAGTTTGTTTCTTTACATATAGCATATATTTTATATTTAATACATATTTCCATACCTCTTTTTCTAAAATACTAACAACATCACAGTCTAATTGCTTCTCTTCAGGCTTACTCGCATTGCTAGCTATCATTTTTTTAATAAGCCGCTGAACTTCCGGGGACAGATTTTCGGAGAGCGTATCATTGAAATTCTCATTGATCTGAAAATAAATATATTTTAAAATATTTGTACAGTCATATACTTATAGGAGGCCGCCTCCGCTAAAAGAAAAGCTTTTGGAAATTCGACGAAAGTTAATTCAGAAAGGTTTTCAGTTTTCGATAACAGAAATAAGGTAGGATTTATATATGGGTATTTAGTTTTGGAACTTACAAAACACAAGCGCTTTAAAAAAAGGCCCTTTGTGGTGCTGCTATTAAAAACTCTAAGATTGTCATGGAGCTTTGCCTTAAAGTCCTCAAGCCGATTGGATTCATAGAGTGCATCACAAGTTTCTAGGCTGACATGTGGGCTAATTATTCCACGACTTCGAAGAATGTCTGAAATAACTCAATCATTCCACAGAACTCATCTAATATACAAAAATTTACCTTCAGCTCTTTGGCAGTCCAAAAGGGCCTTCGGAGCTTTTCCCATCAACCTCATGAACTGACTGCGTTTAACTAAATCCGAAGAACAGTCCGGTTTCAATTCCAAAGATTTATTCATATAGTAAATTCCGTGCTGGAAATGCTGCTTTCTTGCGTAAAAAGAGCCCCAGTTTGAATACATGGATCGCAATCTTTCCGGGCTCCAGTCGACAGCTTGGATTACAATACATTACAAACAACACATTAAAAGACATATAAAAAAGAGGAAAATAACAAACAAAAGAGAACGCTACAGTCCAGCAAGCCCGACAGTGAAATACCCTGTACCCAAAGAAACTTCTTGCACTGAGTTATGCGCTACGCGCCCCTAGCAGAAGCAAAAAGCAGAAAAAGAGTTGACTTGATGCTGTAGTTTGTAGGCGAAGTACTGGAGAGAAATTGTAGCGCTTATAATTTTTCTTAGAACCGATATTTTTTTTGTTTTTTTTAGCGGGGGGAGGGGAGGTAAAATCAAAAAAAAAAAAAAATAACCCCATATAAGCGCTCCTAGTCGCGTCTGCATAACAAGTTTGGTTAATGTACGCTCAGCCGTTTCTGAAATTCGGGCCTTCATCCAGACAAACAGACGGACGGACAGACATGTCTAGATCGATTTCTCTGTAACGCTGATTCAGAATATACATATATATTTTATGGGGTCGGAGATGCTTCCTTCTGCCTGTTACATACTTTGTACAAACCTAATATGCCCTTTTTACCCTAAGGGAAACGGGTATAAAAAATAAATTAAAATAAATTTTTGTTCTCTACATGGTTCCAGTTATATCTGAATAACTTTATTTACTTGTATGGAATCGAAGGAAGACTCAACGAGCGTTTCATTTTAGAAGGACAGGCCCTCAAGCGGACTTTGCCATGGAAGAAGGAACCAACCTGGGAATTAAACTGGGTCGATTCTCTAATGGAGAACATATGGATCGGTCCATGAGTGGGTCGTGAAACGTTTTAGTGTCGGGCAGACAGATATGCAGGAGACGATGGAACGCACTATCTTAGATTTCAAAACGACATCCTTACCTTCCCATGGCTCCAAATGGGGTTTTACTCTAGATGCAGGTGGTTGAGCCATTTGAAATATGTTTAAAGTTATTAATGTACTTAGCAGAATACGGTTATAAAAAATTATTAAAAAAACGTTAAGAAAATTAATAAAATAAAAAATGTTTTAAAAAATGTAATGCAATTAGTTTATTTGAGCATTTTTTGAAAAATAACAGCAACCTGAAAACCTACTAGTTTGACCCGGATTCCTATTTTTTATGCCCTGTAGCCAAAGTGTAAATGGTATACCTAATTTTAGTCCAAGATGCCTTATGTGAATACGCCGAAAATGTGTACTTTGGAATTTCCCTCCCTCCCCCTCTCCCACGCAATTAGAGATGTCACATAATTCCCATGTTTCTTGGAATTTTTCATTGAAATTCGGAAAATACCCCCAGTTAGTGATTATGAATCCGTACGCCAAGTTTCATAATGATAGGCCGACTTAACAGGAACTTATAGCCATATATGTATATATGACCAAGCAGTGCCAGCAGCTGTTGTTGTTGTTACTGCTTTGCATAGGCACACGAGACATACACAGACACACACATACACACATAATTATTCTACACATATGTATAAAGTATTTCAAACTCGGGACACCCGACTTTAGCTTCTCTACTTCTTGACTTAGTGGGTTTTCCCCTGCATCTGTGTATTTGAAGCCTTTTCCTAATCATGCAGTGTGCACCCACAATTAAACGCTTTCGAGATCATATTTCTTTATGCGTTGGCCTGCTTCTGCACAGCATGAGGCTATTTATAACTCAGGATTTTTGTTTAGTCTATCACTTGATTATATTCGCTATGCCAACTTCTGCACTCTTGTTCTCTTTTGTGAACATCTTGCTCAGGGCAAAATTAATAGTCACTGGCGACTAAGAATATGTTCACTTTTGTGAACAATTTCTATATTAGATATTGAAACCGCATATCGAGAAAATGCGCTTTATGGATTTGTGATAGATTTTTATAACGATTATTGTAAAAATGTACAGCTGCAGCGCTATCAGTCCCTCAATGCGTCACCAATTGTAAGTAATTAGTTTCTTGCATCAGCCCTAGTACTTTCTACGAGTATGTTCATTTGCTTTATCAGTAGTTTGATAAGAAGCGTACTTCCCTCTCACAGATCGCAGACAACAGTTCCCCCTCCCCAGCCAACCATCTCGTGATTGAAGTTGCTTCCTTGTTTCCCATGTAGTTATCGCCCACTTTTTCTGTATGCTTGTATATTCATACGTGCATATGAACATATTTGTATACGAATACGGCAGCCACTTGCTATTTTCCGGATGCAAGAGAGCAACAGGTCCCCGCTTCAACCGTACCTAAGTCATGGCATATTTATGTGTGTTGGACATTAAATACTCCGTGTGTGTAATTATTAACACTAAGCAACAAAGACGGAATATTTATCTGGGCCAGGAATGGAACTACGGAATACTACAATTTCTTAGTTTTAAAATTCTTAATAAACTTGCGCTTAAATAAGAAATGTTTATTTTACAAGAGTCGACTGGGTAGTTAATTAAATTTAATGTTCAAATCGTTATTAAATGGCTAAAAGGTAAGCTAGTTTATTAAAAAGTGACTCCAAAGAGTACTTGTGTTCCTGATCAGTAGATGAATTGAATGTAAAAATCTGCAAAAGCACAGAGCCAGAATACTAATATTCAAGACTAGCTTATGTAGCTTTAGAATTGTGGACACCATTGACGAAAATATCTAAAGGGGTGCACAAGGGGTGGTGCCTCGGAAAGTATTGCGGCTATACAGACAGACTGATCTAGAACGACACGTCTTGTCATGCCAATCAGAAAAATATACATATATACATAAGCTTCTTGTGGCTCTCCTTGTTACCCTTTGCGTACAAAGAAGAATGTAAAGCTTAATAAATCTTCAACACTTGCGGTTAACCTACTCAGCTTACTACAGTTAATATAGAATTTAAAGGTTATTAGACTAACTTTTTTCTTCATTTTTGCTTCCTAGGCATGAGACCTATCATACTCGTATGTGTTCTCTTTCCGCTGTTCTTTAGTGTTGTTAGTCAGTAATGGGTATAAGCAGCTGAACAAACGGTTCACCCATTCACGGGCAGCAGCTTCAAGATACACGGTAAAAGGTCTACAACTATAAGACATATAGCAAGCAAAGTCTCTGAGCCCGGGTAAGGCTTTGGAAAACACCTCCACCCACCACGCCCTTTAATCTCGAACAGCAGCACCTTAAATGGGAATAGAATACCAGAGTACAATAATCTCTTCCAATGGCAGTGAACAAAACCCTACGTTCTCTACCCTTTTTATTGACTCACTAACTGATTCCTTTGGAGCAAGATTTTACTGCCATGGGCTCTGAATGCCATTCAACACGGATAGTTGCTCAGCTGGTTCCACCTAATTTTGTGTGCAGTTGGCTCTGTGCCGAAATACTCGTACTACCTCTATGTATATATGTACTTCGCAGTCGTCACTGTCTCGCAGACTGGTTTTCGAATCGCTTTCTGAGCAGCGGCATAGCCAACATGGAGCGTTGCGTTTTATTCGAATGGAAGTCAAGGTCATGCGGATATACTCACATAGCGGCGACTTTGGTGTTATTTACATACTATACACACATAGGTAAAAAGCAAGAGGCCATTCGAGCACCTTTTCAGGGGTCCAATGAGCCCTGTATTAGTCTAGTCTTATGGCTTATGCTAGACACAAAGAAATCATTAGTACGTATTATAATTGGTCATCTGATATTATTTTATTATGTTAACCGCCTGTGGGGCTGCATAATATGTCGATTGAAGAACCAGTTTTTGTTTTGCTCACTCCGCCCAACTCGTATATTTCTCCTTATTTATTTTTAGTCTTTTATATCTATACAACAAATGCCATTCAGTTGCTGTGGTTTCAATAAATAAAACAAGTTTTAATTTTTTAGTTGTTTCCCCTCTTATTACTGGCGTGCATGCCACACAAAGCGATGCAATAAGGTCCGCTCATTTATCTGCCAAGCAAGAAAAGGTCAAAGCAGTCTAGAAAAAGTCTCAGTTTACTTCAATCGGTATTAGTACGCCATACAAATATCTACCATAGGCAAAGCACATGTGATCCAAATTTTAAAATACATATGGAAATATGTATAGAGGTTAATACAAAGTATTTTCAAACATAAATTTTCACTTCGCTATTTAATCAGCTTTTATAGGTATTAAAGAAACACCTAAGAGTTCCTGGAAAGCTTTGAAGCTATATTCATATGCATGTTCGATTTTGAAACAGACTTTGTGAATTCTATGTTGTGTTGTGTTCTCGCCAGTGTGGGTGAAGTTTTATTTGTAAGTAATCAAATAGTGTACCCAAATAAGTGTATATATAGTAGTATGTCCCTTAAAATTATGTTATATTATGACTTTCCGAGATCCTTGCATTTTCAGGCGGGCGCTCCTTACCCATCTCGATCCAGGGCTTATCAAAAAATCGTATACTTTGTTTTCTCATACGAGTACCTTTCAGGAATATCATATAAATACCACCTTATTTTAATGAATACACGTACTCGTATATACCAGTTTCGATAAAATACTATACATATGGCCCCAAATTTCATCGCATGTACGAACATTGTGTTCAGTTACAAAAAAAAAGAAAAAGAAAAATAAAAAAAAACAAATAACGAGCGGAACTTTTGCTGTTTCTTTCAACTGCTCAGTGCGCTATCAAGCATGTTGGCTGCTTTGCTTCGCTCTCAAGAGATAGTGTTGGTTGGCGTTGTGTTGTCGTTTACGCTTACGCTTACGTTGCCCACTCTTTGCCGGCAACAGCAATCAGAGAGCCAATCGTCTGCATGGCAAGCGAAACGCGACGGGTTGCAGATCGGTTGCCGTTTCCTATAAAAGTGGCTCATTTAGTGCGCGTTGCTTTTCGAAGTTGGCTCAGTGTTAATTCAACAGCGGAGTTGGCCAGCGGTGTGTGCGTGTGCGTATTCAAGCAGTTACAAAGTGAGAGGCCAGGAATTATATTCAACCACGACGTATTGTGCAAGCAAAACTAGTGTGAGTCAATCCAGTTTATCATTGTTGTTGTTGCAATGTTTTCCTGATATCGTGGGTTTTGCAAGAAGTTGTTGGCAAGAGTATCGGCATACTCGGACCCGTACACACGTACTACACATCTTAGTGTGTAGGCCAATCATGCTAACAAAGGCAACAAACCCATTCGGAATGTTTGACGTGACTTTGCATGTTAAACAGGCGGCGGGTGGGACTAAGTACGAGTATGTCTAATGCTTGCCCCCACCCGATTCTCAGCACCAGAAAAACAAACTTTAATTGAACGGCAGTCGCCCCGTCAAAAATGTTGTCTTTGCTTATGTAAAATACCTGTTTGGGAAGCAGGTGCTGGCTGTACAAGTACTCGTACATGCTGTAAATACGGATATGTAACTGTGGTGGACCACAGGCCCGTGGACAACTCATCACAGAGCTGAAAACCATGAGATGGTCGGAGTGCACTCTGTGCTTCCCGTCCGTCAGACATGCACAAAAAGAGAGCGGTCGAAAGCTTGCTTGTGTTGGTGGGCTCTACACCGCCAGAAAGAAATTATATGTTTCCGAAAATTATAACATTTTTGGTATGAGCTATTGTGTTTATTGTTAAAGGCTTTCATTTCGTTACCGTTTTTAAATATTAAATTATTTAATTCAAGTTCCCTCGGTGCATTTCGGTGTGGGTTGCAGCATGCCGCGTTGGGCTAGTTGTCAATTACATTATAAGAGTGTGGTTTTATTCTACTCCGTTGACGGAAATCAACCAAGGATTACTGACGCCTCAAACGTATAATCATTTCCAGTGGATATTCTGTTGATCGCTCTCGGTGAGCACTTTTAATATTATGTTTGGGGTAATAGTTACTCTCCCTGATCTCTATTAATAATTGATTATTTACTAATTAAATAGTATATATACTATTTGTTATTACCGCTGCCTATATTCGTTGTTATAAGCAAGAAGAAGACGAACGAAACCGATGATGCACTTTCGGGACGTACAATTGTCTGACTAAGCCTTTCTTTTCTTTCAAAACTTCTCTTGATATTAACTGATTTGATGCAATTTAAAATAGAGAGTTATGAATAATTACACATAAAATAGGTTGATGTGATTTTAAATATTGAATCAATGTAATGTGAAATGTGAAATTCGTTATCGGTACGAAGAGAGGGAAAATAAATCAATATATGTATATTCTAAATGTATATATTAAATGGGGACAGAGATGCTTCCTTCTAATTGTTTCATGTGTAGATTTGAACAAACCTTATGTGAATTCGCAATTGCATGCATGCATAAGTATGTATGTGGTATCTTATTTCGCTTATCCGCAATCATGTTGATTGAACGACGGTAAAACTATAACTTAAAATGTACGCTGTTCACAACATTTATTTTAGTTTTATTTAAAATACGGCCTGCCCTGTCCATAAAGTGTACAGTGGCAGAAGGGTGCATCCAAAATAAATCACAAGCATTTTCCGCTTTTGGCTTAGGAAATATATGAATACTAGATTTGACGACTCTAGCTTTTATACTTTCCGAGATCCCCGCGCTTATGCAAATGGATTGATCCAGAATATATGTATATTCATTATGTGTGCTACATGCATTCGACCAAAATATTATATAACTTCACCAGGCTCTACAAACTATAATATGTATGTAACAAACTCATTCTTTATATGGTAAAGGACGTTCATATAACTTGTACAGATCCAAAGCGAATATGCCGGTGTGTATGTTTGCTGCACATTATAAGTAAAATCGTACAAGGTATGACATCTTATATAACTTCACCAGGCTCTACAAACTATAATATGTATGTAACAAACTTATTCTTTATATGGTAAAGGATGTGTATGTTTGCTGCACATTATACAATCGTGCAAGGTATGCCATTGCCCAGGTCCGTTATTTGGTGTTCCCTTGGGTATGACATCATAACACGATAACTGTTAGCTATCCAAAGGTGCTTGTGCGCATACAAGTGGTAACAACACCTATGGCGCGCAAAATTTGAAATGAAATATGTGACAGGCTGCATGAACTGCTTGACGGTTAGCATTGATTGTGGTAGCCTCCTCAGCAAAATCCACTAGTTTTTTAAAGTGTAAATTCTACACTACATTTTTCAAATAAGCCGCGTGGTAGCACAGTCTGGCTGCACCAATTAGCGATATTTTAGAGCTGCCAGGCAAAATGCATTTGGAAACACTAACCACAATGCAAACATTCTCAAGCATACGTCACAAAACTTAATAAGACGTATGTAGGTACCTGCGCAGTGAGAGTCATACCTTGTACGATTGTATCATGTTTGCAGCACGCACTTGAACCAAAACAACAACAGCTGTTGCGGAAGCATGGAAAAGATAAATGGGCTAGGAAGAACCTGCTGAACAAGTTCGACTTTAAAGATCTCTCCTTCGTGTATAGGGCAGAACAACAAACCTGCTATTTTGATATTTTTTGTGTATATTTATATCAATTTTAAAGGGATTAGAGAACGACCTATTTTGTAGCAAAGCTGTGAACGTAGCCTCAGAAGCTTTTATATTCAATAAACCACACCCACTTAAATTTAGACACAACTTTATTTCCATTCATTTATTCCTGATCGTATTTCAATTCTTTTAAAATTTTATTGTCTTTTTTTGTGAGTTCTGGTGAGCCAACATACCTGAAATGTACAAGAGTATATTAAGTTTGAGAGAGGTGAAAAGTGTAACAGGCAGAAGGAGGCGCGTCATACCCCACAAATTATTTATTCTAGATCGGCCTGTCAAGAAGAGTCGATCTAGCCCTGTGTGCAATGCGAATGAGGAAAGTTATGTCTCTTTAAACTATAAATATTTTTTTTCATAAGGAAATCAAAATTTTTCTACGTCTGATATTTTTTATTACGACCGCACCAATTCCAATAACACTAAACAAATTGACAATACAACTATTAAAGTTCTAGGAAATAGCGGTACGTAATGACCATAATCAATGTTTGCAGACCGTGTACATTTATAACGGACAAGGCAGACTGCAAATCAATTATCAATTATCAGTAAAAACAAGAAAGGAATATTAAGTCGAGCAAGCTCAATTCACCCCAAAAAGGAAAAACAAAATTTTTTATTAAATTAAATACAATTTATTCAATACATATATACAAAAGAATCGTGTAAATTATTATTTAAACGCATGTGCATTATTTAATCAAAATTTTATTTTTTTGGCATATAACCACAAACTGGATGTACATATATGCCAAATTTAAATTCCAAGAATTACGGGAGTTATGAAAAACCCGAACTGCGGGGAAGTGGATGGTGAATCAGAATAAACAAGATAGAACGCTACAGTCGAGCAAGCCCGACAGTAAAATAGCCTGTACTCTCCACAAAAAGGAAAAATTAAAAAAAAATAAAAAGAATTAATTAAAAAAAAAAATAAATTATTAAAAACAAGAAAGAACGCTACAGTCGAGCAAGCCCGACAGTAAAATAGCCTGTACTCTCCACAAAAAGGAAAAATTAAAAAAAAAAAAAAAATTATTTAAAAATTAAATTATTAAAAAAAAATGAATGAATTATTTAATTAAAATAATTAATTAAATTAAATTAGAATACATGTTTATGTTCAGTTTAAACAGCATACATTTACATCACGTACCTATGCGTGTTTATATGCGTGTATGTATGCAGCACAAAGTTGAACAAAAGCAGCAACAACAACAACAGCTGCGGGCAGCGCTGCCGACAGAGCTGCAGGCAGCGCATGAGCAGCGATTTTACTTATGGCTATAACTTTCTTCAGAATTGACCTATCATGATGAAATTTGGCACACGGACACATTAGTACTAACTGGATGTACCTACCAAAATTGATTTTAAAATTCCGAGAATTACGGAAGTTATAAGAAAAAATACGAATTGCGGGGGAGTGGGGGGGTGTATCAGAAAAAATAAACAAACTCGTTCTGCCTAGGGCTTATAGGAACCTTGATACCAATTTTGGTTATCCTAGCTCTTGTACTTACTGAGATCCTTGCGCTCATACAGACAGACGGACAGACGGACATGGCTATATCGACTCGTCTTCTCATCCTGATCAAGAATATATATACTTTGTGGGGTCTGCCACGCCTCCTTCTGTGTGTTACATACATGCGCACAAAACTAGTATAGCCTTTCACCCTTTGGGTACAGGCTATAAAAATGAATGAATGAATTAATTAATTAAATTAAATTAGAATACATGTTTATGTTCAGTTTTAACAGCATACATTTACATCACGTACCTATGCGTGTTTATATGCGTGTATGTATGCAGCACAAAGTTGAACCAAAGCAGCAACAACAACAACAGCTGCGGGCAGCGCTGCCGGCAGTGCTGCAGGCAGCGCATGAGCAGCGATTTTACTTATGGCTATAACTTTCTTCAGAATTGACCTATCATGATGCATTACATTACATTAGTACTACATTAGTACTAACTGGATGTACCTACCAAAATTGATTTCAAAATTGATGTACATATATGCCAAATTTGAGTTTAAAATTCCGAGAATTACGGGAGTTATGAAAAAAAACACGAATTGCGGTGGAGTGGGGGGTGTATCAGAAAAAATAAACAAACTCGATCTGCCTAGGGCTTATAGGAACCTTGATACCAATTTTGGTTATCCTAGCTCTTGTAGTTACTGAGATCCTTTCGCTCATACAGACAGACGGACAGACAGACAGACAGACATGGCTATATCGACTCGTCTTGTCACATACATGTGCACAAAACTAGTATAGCCTTTCACCCTTTGGGTACAGGCTATAAAAATAAAAAAAACTTGACCTGCCTAGGGATTAGGGGAACCTGGATACCAAATTTGGTAATTCTAGCTCTTGCACCTTCTGAGATCAATGCGCTCATACAGACGGACGGACGGACAGACGGACATGGCTATATTACTCGGCTTGTCACTCTGATCATTCGCACGAAACTAGTAAAGCCTTTTACCCTTTGGGCACAGGCTATAAAAAATTGTGTTTCTTAATAACTAACTTAATGGCTATGGAGCTTTATTATTTGTATTATTATTATTATTTATTTATTAGTTTCTGAAATCGAGAATAATTTAGTAATGTATTGTGACTTTTCTCACGACTGTTCTTCACCTGCAAAATCCCTTTTTGGCCACTTCACAGCTAGCCCTCTAATTGATAGCCTAGACATTTAATTAGGGTTTAATTGGCAATCAGCGTTAGTTTGCAAAAAACCCCAACAAAAAAAACTTTGATAATGGTGAGGCAATATACATATTCGAGGTCTGTTCAAAAGAATAGATGGCGGTTTTGCTCTCTTTTTTATTCGATTACAATGCGTGCGTACATGAGTTCTTGCCAACAGGTCGTATGCTTAATGAGGAATCCAGCACCTTTTTCCTATTCCCAAAACTGAAGAGACCAATGAAAGGAAAGCGTTTTGCCACAATTGATGAGATAAAATCAAAATCGAAGAACGGGCCATACCGAAAAGCGCATTTCAGAAGTGCTTCGAGGATTGGAAGAAGCGCTGGCATAAGTGCATTGTATCTGAGGGGAATCACTTCAAAGGGGACAAAATGGAATTTGACGAATAAATAAATAATTCAAAAAAAAAAAATTCAAAATTGCCCTTTTCTTTTGAACAGACCATGTTAATACATAAGTAATACGTACTAAATTTGTACATATGTATGTACATATGTAGAGAGGTGGGTCTTCGTGTGAACCCCGATATTTGCCGATGCTTATATCCCTACATACAAAGGTACATCTATACTTAGATAGCACTGCCGCTATCTTCCCATCTGGTTGTGGCATGTGATAAGAATACAATTTAATGCGCCATTCAACCAAATTTTGGTTATATTTCTCCAAATAAAGCTGTGCTCTGATATCAGGCTATATCTTCCGCACACGCATATTATTACTTGTACATACATAGATATATATTTTGTATATCTACATACATATGTATGTATACATACGAGTATAGGCGAAGCAAAAATAGCAACTAAAAATAAAAAGACAAATTGTTGAATACAAAAAATGTCCATTTGTGTAAACTAATTTATTGGTGAAGTAGCGGGATAGGGCGGAGTATTGGCATCGCTTCTAGTCAGGGTTTAAAAGACGCAGTAGCAGACGCGTGGTGTCGCTGGCTACAACAACTTGATAACAGTAACAACTAAGCCCACGTACGTTTTAAAACAAATACTTGTGTACGTATACGCAAACAAACATACATGTGTACATACGTGTGTGAATACCTGCATACGTATAGTACTTATGTACGCTTCAGGGAATAGGCCATGGGAGAACAGATACAGTATGCAACTAAAGAGTGCACTGCACCTATTTGCATACACTCACTGTGCAACTTACAATTGAGCAAATAATTATAATCATATCATTTGAGTATACCGTGTTTGTTCTCCAGTGGGTGTAGGCCTCTTAATGAGTTCTCCTTTTGTGCCGCCACATAACGAGCGATGGCGAAGACATACTTGTAATATTTTTATTTTTTCACCTTTCAGTACTTCAAAACTGTCGATTTTTTATGCATATGTATGTGTGCATGTCACCCACTCGTACCTAACTGGAAGTAAAAGGCAATACCGGTTCATTTGCGAACTCTGTTGATCCTAATGTTGGCATTTTTTTGTCCCCTTTTGCACAAAATAGCAGACATGTACGTTACAGGGCCGAGGGCAGTATCTTCTGTTTCTTACGTACTATCTACATTGTACGTTTCCCACTCGTGCAAAAGCTATAATAATCAAATACTCTGTATCCGAAGGGAAATGAACGGCAGTCCATGTAGTGGAGACAACACCGGCACATGGTGTCAGCACACTACACTACACTGATATAAAAGTTGCATAGTACGGATGAATATTTTCATATTAAATTTAATGTCCATCTATTTCATATTCAAATCAAATATACTATAAACATCTTAAATTTTACTAAAACATATTCAATTAGTGATTGTAATGTGAATGAATATTATTCAAAACAAAGTGTAAAACTCCGTTATTAAAGTGTGTCATATTCAAATTAATGTTGAACCATATTAAATATTAATATGCACACACTTCAAAAAACAAATAGTTACATTTACTATATTCCATAGAAAATTATAATATTTTTTTGAACTTTATTTTGAAGTTTTTTGATGTTTTTCAAATATACCAGAAATATATTAAATTTCAATTGACTAGAATTCTCAAGTCGGTTTTCAGCGGTTGTGTGGTATAAATACAAAGTGTAACCGCTCGACATACAGATATGGTCGTTAAGTATGTGTCAAGTAAGTGTTATTCAATCAGCTGCTTCTCACTTTAAGTACTAAAAGAGGCATAAAAAACATCAAAAAAATTAATCCATAATAACAAAAGAACTTTAAAATTACTTTCTGCTAAAAATGGTGGTATTCTATAGAAAAAAAATGTAGAAGTATATAGAAATAAACAAGTAAAAAAGCTAAAGTCCGGGTGTCCCGACTTTGAAATACTCTGTACATATGTTTATAGAAAAAAAAATAAGAAAATTTAAAAAAATTTGATCGATTTTACCTTTCTCGGTATTCGAACTCACGTAAAGGGTATATAATTGCACATATACAAAGCAATTGCGTCTATGTGAGTGTATGTATGTTTATGTGCGTCTATTTGTGTCTGTGTAAGCATTTTCGCAGTCAACTAAACAGCAACATCAACAACAGCCGTGGGCAGCGCTTGAGCAGCGCTGCAGCAGCAAATATATTTATGGCTATAACTTCTTGTTAAATCGGTCTATCATAGTGAAACTTGACACACGGACACATAATAACCAGCTGGGGGTATTTCCAAAATTAGTTCGAAATTCCAAGAATTACGGGAGTTATGATTTGCGGGAGAGAGGGGGGAGGGAGGGAAATTCCAAAATATTTACACAAGGCATCTTGGACTAAAATTTGGTGTTCCTAGGTCTTATAGTCTCCGAGATATAGGCGATTATACGAATGGAAAATCGGGAAAACCCCCATAGGGGGGAAGTGGGGGGAAAATCAAAAAAATAAAACAAACTCGTATAGAATACACACATAATGCATCTTTGTGGAAAATTTGGTGTCTCTATCTCTTATAGTCTCTGAGATCCAGGTGTTCATACGGACGGACAGACAGACAGACAGGGCTAGACCGACACGTCTTGTCATGCTGATCAAGAATATATATACTTTGTGGGGTCTTCCACGCCTCTTTCTGCCTGTTAAATTTTTCAGCTCGCGCAAACCTAATATACTCTTGTACATTTCATGTACAGAGTATAAATATGCATCATGATAATGTTGAAGAGTTAAAAAAAAAACAGTAACGTAGACAAAAAAGTTGAACAAATATTTTATAATTATAAAAAAACCTTTGGCGTGAATCAAACCCACGTCTCCACATTGTTATTTAATATCGTCACACTTTCAATTTAATATTTTAATATTAAATTTTTAAATTTAAGTGTGCACACTTCATATTTACTAAAACACACGATGGTGCAAAATCGATGGTAAAAACAGTTAAATCTACGTGTAAATATTGAAATTTCCGTGCTTTTTTTTTATCAGTGTAATATTACAACTCAGAACTTTCAGAACTTGTAGCTTAAATTATTAAAATTCAGGAATAAAAAACCCTCTCTGTGTTTGAGAAAAATTCGGAGTCTTATCTTTACGGTTAGTTTTAAAATTCAGCTCATTACAGTAAATAGACATTTTATGATTATTGTTTTTCCAATTTCAGATACGACTGGGCCAGTGAATAAAAATCTATTTGACAAATATTTGTATTTGTATCATTCAATATGTGTGGTAAGTAGACTATGTATAGTATAGAAGAATTAAAGATACTGTTAGTACTATATGGAAGCAGGTGGTTAATATATGACGAAAAATATTGCATAATACATCTATGCGTGGTCCATGAATTGGTTTCCTTTTTGTTTTTCATAGAATAGTTTTATTTTTAAAAATTCATTTATTCTAAATTCGTTCGCATGCTCACAGGAATTTTTGCCTACCTAAACTATTTGACTCCCAAGTCACGCCTGGAAGTGCTGGATCTTCTGGTCACTGGTTTGAAGCGCTTGGAGTATCGTGGCTATGATTCCACAGGTGTTGCAATTGACGCTCCGGATAATAAAAATATCGTGATGGTGAAACGAACGGGAAAAGTAAAGGTGCTGGAGGACGCCATACAAGAAAGTAAGACACAAATTTTTAAAGAAGAACGAACACATACACGTAGTTGCAATGCCGCTTTCAGATTTTAGTGGTAGCGAGTATAGCGAACCAGTGTTGACCCACGTCGGCATTGCGCACACACGTTGGGCCACCCACGGCGTGCCCTGCGAGCTTAATTCGCACCCGCATCGTTCTGATGAGGGAAACAGTTTCGTAGTCGTGCACAACGGCATAATTACCAATTACAATGACGTTAAGACGTTCCTGCAGAAGCGTGGCTATGAGTTCGAATCGGATACGGACACTGAAGTATTTGCCAAGCTTGTACATCACTTATGGAAAAAACATCCTGGCTACTCGTTTCGGGAGCTGGTCGAGCAGGCTATACTACAAGTGGTACGTCAGCCTCAGTGGCGCATTCCCCGTAAGCCCGTTAACCCAACTGACTCTCCGGTCTATTAAATTATGCAGGAGGGCGCCTTTGCCATAGCAGTTAAGTCGAAGCATTTTCCTGGTGAGTGCGTGGCGTCCCGTAGAAGCTCCCCCCTACTAGTCGGTATCAAGACCAAGACGCGTTTGGCCACCGATCATATTCCCATTTTGTACGGAAAAGGTATGTATAAGTGAATATATAACTGTACAAAATCTGCTATGTATTTACTTTCTGACTGGCATTTTTTATTATTCCTATCACAATCTGTCTTTTATGTCCATACATTGCTCACTGTGTGTGTTTCTCTCTCCTTAATAACCAATTGCTGCCTCCGATACTTCCTACCGTGCCACCCCTGACTATACGTAGATGACAATCAGAAGAAGAACCCCGATAAAGGTAGCTCTTTTTTCCACGCTACTCGTTAATTAGTTCCAGTTCAGTTGCTGTATAGAATACCTGATCTAATCTACAACTAACCCTCGCTAACCAAACTGACTATTAAGCATCTAGTTCTATCTTGTCGGTGTTGGGACATTCCTCAAATTTGATCAAATGTCTGACTTATTTTTTATTCACTTTTTCTTTAGATGCTGAATCAGGCAAACCTACAGGTAATTTATTCAAAGTATTATTTTTAGAGTTGTCCCTCAAGCTGCACATCCACTAGATAATAAAGACTATCAACATGAAAATTGCAAGACAAGCAATTCTATGACTCGCCTAGTACTTTACATATATTTTTAGAAATCTCGTACCCTTAAGACACTGGGAATATTAAGAATTAAAAGGTGGGGTGTTTGGATTCAGATCGAAATAGATTTTATTACTAGTTCGCACACCATTTTAGTTTAGTATAAAATGGCTTGCTTAATTATCGATCGCTTTACCTTATTAAAGTGCACCCAAAGACCGCACAGATGAAGATTTGTATAAAACATCAGGCTACCATATCTAGTACACGATCTTTACATGTTATTTTTCAGTCACGCTATTAATGACTGATTTTACATATTTATTATTATTTGTTATGGTTTCTATAACTGGTATTTGGATAACTGCCTTTTAAAGGAATCATTTTAAATTTGATTGTCTGTGTTAATTATTATTTGTATATTAGGTTTGCGGGAGGTGAAAAATGTAACAGGCAGAAGGAGGCGTGACAGACCCCACAATGTGTATATATTCTTGATCAGGATGACACGATGAGTCGATCTAGCCCTGTCTGTCCGTCTGTCCGTCCGTATGAACACCTGGATCTCAGAAACTATAAGAGCTATACACACCAAATTTTCCACAAAGATGCGTTATGTGTGTATTCTATACGAGTTTGTTTTATTTTTTTGATTTTCCCCCCCACTTCCCCCCTATGGGGGTTTTCCCGATTTTCCATTCGTATAATCACCTATATCTTGGAAGCTATAAGGACCTAGGGCCACAAAATGTTAGTCCGAGATGCATTTTGTGAATACGCAGAAAATATGTATTTCATAATATCCCTCTAGCACCCCTCTCCGCCGCAAATCGTAACTCCCGTAATTCTTAGAATTTAGAACTCAAATTTTGCAAGTACCCCCAGTAAATGATTATGTGTCCGTGCGGCAAGTTTCATTATGATAGACCGAATTAGCAGGAACATAGAGCCAAAATAATAAAGAAAAGAATAATTAATTAAATAATAATTCTTATTAAATAATGGAAGCTGTCTCAAAATTAAGGTATTATGTACTTCCTTTTTGATATTTTAAACAAGTTGTAGCCGCTATTTCAGTCCCTCAAACTCAGAAAACCAAATAATCAATTACAGTAGATTAGTGGAACTTCAGTACAATTAGCTCAGGTTAAGAATAAACAAGAAATAAATTCTGAAGTCGAGTGGTCCCAACTTTTTGGTTAACAACTCAAAAATGTTTAAAAGTAAAAATAAATATTAATAATGAAGCAAATTATATAAAACACTTTCCAATTTCATAAATCGGGAATCGAGATAGCTATAATTTCCTATCGCGATGGGACTTGCTATGAGGATACATAAGAGGAAGTGTATTTCAAATTCGATTCTATAATACATATAAATAATTTAAATATACGTACGTATGTTTTATATTATTTGTTTAAATACATACTATATTATTAATTATTTTGATTAAGCATTTTTGAAACTTTCTTTTTGAAGTGGGTACAGGATTTTTCAGAGTTTAAAGAAGAATCAAAATATATGTTAGTCCGTCTCTAAAACGTTTATATCATTTATGTCGTTTGATGGTCTACTACGTAGTGGCGAACACATGCGAGACATCGAAATTCGTTATTCAAATGGTGATGGGAGATTTCAGGTAGTGGACAAATGTTAGTAATTAAATATTCGAACGTCGTCTGTTCAGTAGTTCAATTATTTATACTCATAAACTCAGTTTTCTCTTTTATTCTTTTTCGAATGCTTTGGCCATTAAACCGTGTACATACTTATGTATAAAAACAAACCAACACTCGCACAATCACACGAACTCATGTGCTCGTCCATGCACGCAATCCACATGCAATTGACAAATGCATTGCCTCGGCCATTGCTATCGTCAATGCCACCGTCTCATCCTCCCCCGTGTACTCAATGCTCATCGCAAATTCAACTGCTCACATCAATCTTCATGCTCACGGCGACCTCTATGGCAATGTAAAATAATATCCAAACACGACCAAATTTGAATGCCAACTGACTAACTAAATAGAAATTCGTCCCCACGGTCAAACTCGTGAATTGCCAGTTCTACCGCGCTCGGATAGCACTTCGGAGTTCATGCCGCTGGAGAATAAGGAAGTAGAGTATTTTTTCGCTTCGGACGCATCCGCTGTCATTGAGCATACTAACCGTGTTATCTACTTAGAGGTAAGTGCTTGTACTAAATATGCCTTATAGTATGCCAGTATGGCAAATGACTATTGACAACGTTCCTGCAGGACGATGACGTTGCAGCCGTGCGCGATGGTACTCTGAGCATCCATCGCCTCAAGAAGAGCCTGGATGATCCGCATGCGCGTGAGATAACTACTTTAAAGATGGAGATACAGCAGATCATGAAGGGCAACTATGATTACTTCATGCAAAAGGAAATTTTCGAGCAGCCCGAGTCTGTGGTCAACACAATGAGGGGTCGAGTACGCTTTGATGGGAACTCAATTGTGCTGGGAGGAATTAAGGATTACATACCGGAGATCAAACGCTGCCGTCGCCTAATGCTTATTGGTTGCGGAACCTCCTACCACAGCGCCGTAGCTACGCGCCAGCTGCTGGAGGAGCTCACAGAGCTGCCTGTCATGGTAGAGCTTGCATCGGACTTCTTGGATCGCAACACTCCCATTTTCCGCGATGATGTGTGCTTTTTCATCTCACAATCAGGTGAAACCGCAGATACTCTGATGGCTCTTCGGTACTGCAAACAGCGCGGTGCACTGATCGTCGGAATTACAAATACCGTGGGCAGTAGTATCTGCCGTGAGTCGCACTGCGGCGTACATATCAATGCTGGACCTGAGATCGGCGTCGCCTCGACGAAGGCATACACATCCCAATTTATATCATTGGTTATGTTCGCATTGGTTATGTCCGAGGATAGATTGTCTCTGCAGCAGAGGCGTCTTGAGATTCTGCAGGCACTATCGAAACTTGCCGACCAGATAAGGGAGGTTCTCAAGTTAGACAAAGTGGTACAGGAACTTGCCAAGGATCTTTATCAGCACAAATCCCTATTAATCATGGGCCGGGGCTATAACTTTGCCACCTGCCTCGAGGGCGCTCTAGTAAGTTGGACCGGAATTTCTTCAACAATTTGTTTTCGATAATTAAAGCAAATATTCTTTAATTTTAGAAAGTGAAGGAACTGACTTATATGCACAGTGAAGGTATTATGGCCGGAGAACTGAAGCACGGTCCTCTGGCACTCGTCGATGACTCCATGCCTGTGTTAATGATTGTACTCCGAGATCCCGTATACACAAAATGTATGAATGCTCTGCAACAGGTTACATCACGCAAAGGCTGCCCAATAATTATCTGCGAAGAGGGTGACGAAGAGACCAAAGCCTTCTCCTCTCGCCACTTGGAGATCCCGCGCACTGTTGACTGTCTCCAAGGAATCCTAACCGTTATTCCCATGCAATTGCTCTCTTACCATATTGCTGTGCTGCGCGGATGTGACGTGGACTGTCCGCGTAACTTAGCCAAGTCCGTTACGGTTGAGTGAATCCAAGATGAGACTGTCAAGCATCCACTGATTTTCATATCCAAGATATTGAAGATAATCTCTATACATGTCTGTCATACACAAATACATATCCGTGCTCTGCACATTATTTTATACATACATAACAAGTATGCATGTGCGTACTAGTGTTTTACACATATATACATACAGATGCAAATACACGTACATACTATATGTACATATCAATGTACTCATCAAAATGGTGGCATTTGTTGAAAATTAATGTGAAATAGATACAAGATCCCGAGGAATGTATGTGTTGGTGTTGAATTGCACCACAGCTTCAGCTCTCTAGCAGCTTCAGCTCTAATCGACTATGTGTTCAGAAAAGGATTTAAGAAGGAATCGTATATATAACATAAATTTGGTGCCTACTCCTATCACTACGGATTCCTATCACCAAGGGTAGAAATCTATATACTAATAACTATGGCGTCTTATGTTTAGCTTTTAATTGGCGTCACCGATACGTCGATATGACAACCGAAATACATTTTCAGTTAACAGCGTTTGTCGCTGTTATTCGAATCATGTTTATACCCTGTACCTGTAGGGCAAAAGGCTACTTGTAAGCAGCAGGATCACCTCTAAAGTAGCAACTAAGTACCTAGGTGTCATGATAGATAACAAACTCAACTTCAAGGAGCCCCTCAAATATGTTGGAAGTCGATGTGCTGGAGTAAGCAATGCCCTAGCACGAATAATGCCCAACATTGGTGGACCGAGACAAGACAGAAGGTTGCTATTAATGAATGTAGTCAAGTCAGTAGCCCTGTACGCAGCGCCCATTTGGTCTGAAGCAATGCCCAAAATCTCGTATAAGAACTATCTACTTTCAGCCTATAGAAGGTATACCTTTAGGGTAGCCTCCTCGTTCCGTACAGCAATAGTAATCGCAGGAATGCCACAGCTAGAGCTGCTGGCAGAGGCAGAAAAGCAAAAGTACCACGAAAGAAGAACCGGAGTAACATACTCCTGGCAGATAAGTGATGAGACGATGGGACAACTACTACCTGACCCAGCTGCTAACAGGGCATGGATGTTTTCGAGCATACCTGCCCCTGTCTCACATGCGAATCGTGCATATTTCTAGCCCAGGCTACCTATATCTTTCGAAGATTACCCAGACTTTAGCTCGTATAGCTATAAACAAGTAGAAAAGCTAAAGTCGGTTGTCCCGACTTTGAAATACTCTGTACATATGTGTAAAATAATTATTTGTGTCTATGCGTGTATGTGTGGGTTTGTCTGTGTCTGCGGTCACTGCTTGGCCATATGCACATATATGGCTATAGCTTCCTGTTAAATCGGCCTTTCAATATGAAACTCGGCATACGGACTCATAATCACTAACTGGAGGTATTTTACGATTTTTAATGAAAAATTCCAAGAATTACGGGAGCTATGGAAAATCAGTGATTGCCGGGGAGAGGGGGAAGGAGGATAATTCCAAAAAACACATTTTCTGCGTATTGATGTCCTTAGGTCTTATAGTCTCCGAGATATAGGCGGTTATGCGAACGGCGTTACGGAAAACCCCCATTATCGGGCAAGTAGGGGGGGGAAAATCAAAAAAATAAAACAAATCCATCCATGCATGAATTTCGAAAACGGCAAAAAGCACATAAACCGAACTTCTTCTTAGTTGTATAACCTGTACTTGTAGGGTATATTATTTTTATGCGAATGTATGTAACACACAGAAGGAGGTCTGACAGAGTGTATATATTTTTTAAATCAAGATGACAAGACAAGTCGATATATCCATGTCCGTCTGTCCTCTGGACCTCAGCAAGTACAAGAGCTATAATAACTAAACTTGATATTAAGATTCCCTAAGCCCTAGGTATTCTAATACACCCCCCACTCCCCCGCTATTAGTGATAAGTAAATTTCAAATCTGAGAATTACATCTAGTTAGTAATTATATGTCCCTATAGGTTTCACCGCCCGCAGCTGTTGATTGCTTTACGTGAGTTCGAATACCCAGGGACGTATAATCGATCTTAAATTCGATCACTTTTCTTTGAAATTTTAATATTATTTTTAATTTCTATAATTATTTTACACAGATGTACGGAGCATTTTAAAGACACCCGACTTTAGCTTTTCCATTTGTTTTATGTTAAACTTTACAACTCAATCCAAAATCATTATTTTTGAGAACTTGTTTTATTTATCCGGTCTTAAAATCGTTGCTTACTTAATTACTGAAATTTTATATTTCTCATGGACTTAAGTTGAAAAATCAAGAAGCTCCCTTCCCATCGTCTCTGTGGCCAGTTTCTACATAACTTCCGCCACTCTTAAGAACACACAGAATATCTTCGCATTTTTTAATTAGCACCGCGTTTCTCAAGTTTATTTGATATTAAGTCGATTTACTGTAGTTATAAAATTACCTACACATATAATATATACATATACAAGGTGTGTTCCAAAGTAAACAGGACTTTTTAAAAAACAAATGGTTTTTTCGGCAAAATCAATTTATTTTATTCAAAATAGTCTCCTGCTTCAATACAGCTTTTTGCACGATCCAAAAGCATGTCGAACGAGTGTTTTAGCTCGTTGGTCGGTATGGCCGCCAGTATGCCGGTGCAAGCCTTTTGAATGGCCTCTACGTCTGCATAACACTTTCCTTTCATGGGCAAATGCATTTTTCCGAAAAGGTAGAAGTCGCACGGTGCCATATCAGGTGAATACGGCGAGTGGTTAATGGTTAAAATGTGAGTTTTGGTCAAATAATCGGTCACAAGCGTCGATCGATGAGACGATTCTGAGCCATTTTTGGTCGTCAGTCAATTTGTGCGGAACAAACCATGCACACACCTTTCGTAAGCCCAAATGTTCGGTCAAAATGCGATAAATCGATGTTTTGAAGATGTTCAATTCCATTTCCATCAATTTCAATGATGATTTCGGCTGATTTTTGATGAATTCACGCACCGTTTCGATGGAATTTTCGGTGATCACGAATTTTGATTGGCCCACATGTTGATCGTCATTTATGTCCTCACGACCACTTTGAAAACGTTGAAACCACTCGTGCACTCTGCTACGGGATAGGTTTCGGAAAAAGTTTTACCAATTTTAAAACAAAATTGAATGTTCGCTCTTTGTTCGAAGCTCATTTTCGCACCAATAACACAAACATACTAACACTTAAAACGCAATAACTTCATTTCCAATCGATGAAATGTCACGCCTGGACAATCGATAAAGATAGCAGATTCTAACGCACCAGTCGACATATAGATAGCGCTACCAGGGGGCGCTAGATTCAAGAAGTCTGTGGAGTCTCCGTGTGTTCGGATGCACCACATATTAACAATAAAATACAATTTAATATTTCGTTATTTATGTGTCTTTATTGGCGCGTCTTCCTTTTGCGGCGTTGTGTTAGAGACTAGTGAGTACACTATATTGATCAAAAGTTCGATTAAAGATATCGATGCTGTTAGTTGCACATCGTGTGGAGCGATGTCGTGAGCTGTAAAGTGTTGCCGTGTTGTCATCTTGTGCCGCCACAGCTACTCCGCCCCTAGTGACGTCACGATGTGCACTGTGAAAACGTTATTTTGCGTTTGTTTTTGTAAGTTTTGAGCAGCTGCGGTGTTATGTCAGGATCTCGAGTGGTGAATGCTGGCTTTAGTCTTTCAATAGAAATGTTTAGTGTTTTGCCGTTGACACAAATTGCAAACAGACGATCGTTGATTCGCTCTTTGATTTCGTGTGGGCCGGTCTATGGCGACTCGAGAGGGCGTTTTACGTGGTCATTGCGGAGGAATACATGAGTGCAGGTGTATAAGTCTTTGTGTACAAATGATGTTTTGCTTATATGATGAGCAGCTGGTGCAGCACGAACTTCTATTTTGCATCACCTGCAACGAGCTGTTGTAGATGTGCACCAACAGCAACATCTGAAGCGTCTGTTAATAATGCAATCGGTGCGTTTGGTGCGATAAAATTTAGTAAAGTTTCTTCAGCAAGACTTGTTTTGCACTTGTTGAAAGCCTCTTCTGAAGCTGGAGTCCAATCAACAGAAGTGTGGTCATTTCTTTTAGATTGTTTGCATTGGCTGCAGAGTAAAGCTTGATATTCAGATGCGTGTGGAATGAACTTTCGAAAAAAATTAAGAGTGCCAAGAAATCGTCTCAGTTCCATTATGGTTTTCGGCTTTGGATATGTTTTGATGGATTCTACTCGTTCTTGCGGTGGTTTTATCCCATCCGTTGTGATAACGTATCCAAAAAATGTGAGTTCTGGTTCGCCGAATTCACATTTAGATACGTTTATTGGGAAATTTGTTCTTTTTAATTTTTCGAGCACAGATTGAATGTGATGGAGATGCTCCTCCTCAGTACATGAGAAAATAAGTATGTCATCGAGGTAACAAAAAACATGGTCGTCATCACGAAAAATTGAATCGATGTAGCGTTGAAAAGTTTGATTGGAATTTTTTTGGTTTAAAAACTACGATCTCAAACAGACCAAGTGGGGTATTTACCGCTGTTTTCTGGATGTCACTTTATTAATGTCGATTTTGCAGAAAATCTGTTTTCCATAAAGCCTTTCTGCGATGTTGAGCTTTCTATAGTCACCGCAGGCACGCCAGCCGCCAGTTTTTTTTTACTAAATGAATCGGGCTAGACCATGGACTGCTTGATGGGGGAACAATTCCTAGTTGGAGTAAATTTTTGAATTCGTCCTTAATGATTTCCAGTTTCTCGCCAGAACAGCGTCGTTTGGGTTCGACTTTCGGCTGACCAGTTGTTATAATATAATTCTGTACAGTGCTTGAAGTTGGCAGCTTAAAATTTTTTAAGTTGGTCAAACTCACGTGCTTGATGACGATCTCATATCGATATCGATGCTGTTAGTTGCACATCGTGTGGAGCGATGTCGTGAGCTGTAAAGTTTAGTGTTGCCGTGTTGTCATCTTGTGCCGCCACAAGTCCTGTTTACTTTGGAACGCTCCTTGTATAAAACATCACTATTTAGGCAGTCAAATAATCTGTTGACTTTTTCAATAAATGTGGCTGTTGCTTCTGCCGTCTGTATGCAATATGTTAATGCACCACAATTTATCATTGTGGAGTGCAGCAGCCACACTATGACTAAATATTTGTGTGGCATATTTCACTTTCATCCTCTCAAAATTATTTGGGTGTATATGTTTTGTTGTTG